CCCTTCCAGATGTCCTTTTGACCCTGATTATTTATTCAGCATAGCCCAGCAGGGGACGCGAGTGCAGAGCCAAAAATACTCTCCTCGCGCGGGGAGGACCGGCTGGCCATGCTGAGCGTGATTGATTGGGGCCGGCTCTGCAGGCCTCTGGAAAGAGTTATTTTTATCTTGCTCTGAGCAAAGTTTTTCTATCACCTTGTTACAAACAGTTCATCGGGAGAGCGCTCTCGGGCCGGCGGCTGGGGCTCTCGCTTGGTGCTTGAGGGGATGCCTGGTCTTGGTGAAATCTGCCAGCGATGTGCTGGGGCTGAGACAAAGCTGGTGCTGCACCGAGGCAGGCATTGGGGATGGAGGCTCCTGGTGGGCCCGTGTCCTGCTGGGACACCCCCCCAGCAGACTGGTGCCTGCGCTGCACAAGCAGCAGCACCCCCAGGAGAAGGCGTGCTTAGCAAGAGCCGGTTGTGAATAAATCCTGACCGCTCTACATCCGCCCCCGGAGACTTTAGAGATGGGTTAGCCAGAGTGTGCAGGGCTGCCTGGAGTGCCGCCAGCAGCGGTTGTTTGTAGAAAAATCAATCCCTGCAGACACCCCACAACTCTACGTCTTTATCACTTTTGCACACACAGGACAGACCCTAAAATGCAGCATGCAGCATCTCTGGCACCCCCTGCTTTGCTTGGAGAAGCCGGAGAGGTGGGAAGGGAAGTGTAGAGCAAGGGCAGAGAGCGCTTTGGGTGTGGGCAGTGCCTGTCCTAGCCAGGGGCTGGACTGGTTGTGTCGGGTGGTTACATCAGGGACCACAAGAGCTGCACAAGCTGCAGGAGATCAGGAGACCAGGGCCCTCTCTTCTGCCTTCTTACTTTTTTTTTATTTTTAATGCTAAAAGTTGTCCCCGAATTGAAATCGTTTCATCTTGATGCTGCTCAAGGACGCAGTCTCTCCTCTTTCCATCTCAGTATTTGAACTTCAGTGGTGGCTGGCGTTTGATTGATGTTGCCATCTCTTTCTACTCTACCTCTGTCAAATCAAAGCTGCCTTCACAGTGCTGCTGCCGCGGAGACTCGAGCAGAAAAGCTGCCGAGCAGCCGTCCCGAGGCGGAGGAATGGTGGGTGGCGGGCAGGGGTGGCAGGCAGTCTCAGATCAGTGTGTTCGTTTGGTCTTCAAAACATGCCAACACTTCTCAGACTGCAAAGCGGCTTTTTTGCGCCTGTTTGTCCCTGTGCTTCACCAGCGGCACCAGGGGAGTGAGCGGTGAAGTATTTGGGGAGCAGGAGCTGCTCTTCTGTTACGTGTTTCCCTGTCTCAGATGAAAAGCACATTTCAGCTGCTCCCTAATTGCTACAGAGCCACACGGCTTTGAAGTTCGTGCTGTGTATCCGGGCTCTGGTTTCCTCCGTGGTGGTGCTGTGGGATAGAGCTGCCTGCGCCTGACCGGTTTGCATCTGTTTGATCCTAACCTCCTTTTTGCCTTGCCTCTTTTGTTTTGTGTCCCCACCTCTGTGCCCTGCAGATTCAGAGGATGACGGAGAGTCGGAGGCAGCGAAACAACTGATTCAGCCCATAGCTGAAAAAATCATCGCCAAGTACAAAGCCAAAGACGAGGAGGCACCGCTGCTCTTCTTTGTGGCTGGCGAGGTAAGCAGGAGGAGAGCGCAGGGCTGCATCCTGCTGTGACTTCATACAAGGATTGAGCTGGGTTGGGTACTGCTGTCGCTGTTGTTCAGGTGGGTAAACTGAGGCACGGAGCTACTGCAGCTAGTGGGGGACCATGGAGCAAAACCAGACCCAAGTCCTAGCTCAGTCCCTGGTTGAGATTACTTGTGGCAAAAGGGTCCCAGCTGCATTTTCTCAGAGGTGGAAAAGCCTGATGGCGGGCGAGGGAGCTGCTGGGGCTGGGCGGACGGGGACCGGGCGAGGTTGGGGGAGCCACCAGCTTCCCCCTCAAGCCCTGAGGCTGCATGGGCAGGAAAGCTGGCTGGGCAGGGGGAGAGGAGCCGGGGTTTGGGTTTCAGCCGGGCCCAGCCAGTGCTGCCTTCCTCGCTGAGGTGCTGCTGCCTTCCTTCCCACCCTGGGAGGAGGACAGAGACTGGTGCTCCAGCCCCTTCCCGTAGGGGTGCCTGCAGGAGGCATCCGCAGTCCCACGGGCTGGACCTGTTTCTGTGCTGTGTGGGTGATGCCGGACAAAACCGGCCCTGGGAGCAGGCAGTGGCCGCTCGGGGAGCAGCGGGGCGGCACATGGCTGTGCTCCCACTACTGGCCCAGCTCCGCTCTGTCCTGCCCTGGGGCTCGGCTGGGCATGTCAATGCAGCACTGGTCTGTGAAACGAGGGCTCTTCACTGAACTGGCCACGCTGTTGGTGGCTGGAATGGTGTCTGGGGCACGGGCAGGCTGCCGTGCTTGGAGTTGGGGATCTGCTGCAGAAAATGGGAAGTGAAAAAATGGGGCTCCTGGCCTCTCTTTACCCCCACACAGGCATTTTGCCCTGCCGCAGGGTTGAAAACGAGGAAGGCTTTGTGTAAGGGTTGAAAAAGCTCCCAGCCCCCCCCCGTCCCTCCCAGACTTGTGGTTCCCCTCCCAAGGCGTTGCCTGGGCAGGTGGCAGAAGCTGCGTGTCCGTGCGCCTGCTCCATCCCTCCATGCTCACGTCACAGCCGCAGTGTGCTGCAAGCGTGGCCCTCCGGAGCCGCCCTGCACACAAAAGGTTCCCCAGCACTGCAACTTGGCCCCCCCTTGCCAGGCAAGCCCCCACCACCGCCTCCCACAGCCCCGTCAGCCACTTCCAGGCAGGCGTTCCCGCTCCCACCACCTTAACGGGTCTCCGAGCATCCCAGCTCAGCTCCGCGCCCCTGAATAAGCCCCTTGTTGGAAAGGCTGGTTTGGGAGGGTCCAGGACCTGCCCCCCTCCCCCAGAGCCTGTGAAGCATTTTCCTCCCTGAAACATTGCTGCTATTCATCCGGCTCCCGACGTCCCTGCAGCGGCCGGACCGAAGAATGGGGAGCATCCAGCACGTCCCATTCATCCGTCACCTCAATAGCCGGGAGCGCTGGCCCCAGGTCTCCACCAGCCCCCGTGCACAAAGCAGCTCGGCCACGGCCAGAGCAGGCGCCTCCCATTCCTCTCCCAGCGCCGTCTGGGCTGGTTTTGCATTGATTAAAAATGTTTTTTGCTCCTTTTGCGGTGATGGGATAAAGGACGAGACATCCCGACACCTGGGCTGGGAGGCGGGAAGGGGGGGGGGCTGCCGAGCGCCCCAGCCCCGCTCGCCCTTCCCCGCCACGTGGTCCGGCTGCGCCAGAAACCCCTGCAATGGAAGGGGAGGCGCGACAGGAGTTACCCAGCCGTCCGCCGCCGCCACGCGCTGCAGAGCCATCAGCCGCTAGCCAGATGGATTGATTTCTATTACCGCCCTTGGGAAGGGGCTCGGAGGAACGCCCCGTTTCGGCTGCCACACGTTGTGGGCTTGGCCGGGATTGGGAGGTGTATCGCCCCTGCACCAGCTTTTGCATTGCACAGCCCCGGCAGAGACAGATTGTTTTTTCCCCTTTGCCCTGAGCTGTGCTGTGCCTGGCCGAAGGGAAGGCAGCTCTCTTCCCCCGGTGAGCAGCTCGGGGCTAGGGAGCCCTGCGGCTTTTGTACTCGGTCCTGCCATGGGGTTTCAGCGTTGGCTCAAAGCACAGGCCTTCATCCCATTCCTGTTTTCTGGTTTGCTCCAGGTCCCTTCAGCAACCTCCCCAGTGAGTGGCGAGGCCATGGCTGTGGTGATGGAGGGCTGGCAAGTCCCCACGCTCGGCACATGTTCCCAGCTCCTGAGCTGCAGATGCCAAAATCGCTCTGACCCCAGAGGCTCCAGGGTGGCGGGTCAGTCTGGATGTGCTGGGCCCTGTGTGGAAAGGGTTGGAGGAGCATGTGGTCCCATCCCAGCCTGGGATAGATCAGTCTGGTTTGCTTTTGACGCAGAGCAGGCAACAAGGCGGGAGCTGCCTGCTGCGCTCGTGGTCCTGCAATGCTGGTGCAAGGCCCAAGCGCTCGTGAGATATTTGTGGGCTGGATCACGGTGTGGAAGCAGCAAACTGCGCCTCATTGTCCTGGCTGTGCTGATGGCTCCTCTCTCCCTCTCATTTTGGCCTCCAGGACGACATGACTGATTCTCTGCGGGATTACACCAACCTGCCCGAGGCTGCGCCCCTGCTCACCATCCTGGACATGTCGGCCCGGGCCAAGTACGTGATGGATGTGGAGGAGATCACGCCCGAGATCGTGGAAGCCTTTGTCAGCGACTTTCTAGCGGACAAGCTAAAACCTGAGCCCATCTAAGGGGGCTTCTGCACCAACAGACGTTATTTAAAACTAGGTCTCTCTTCCGCCGCTCGTGGATTCTCCAGCGTGTCCTCACGCCCGACCCAGTATCCAACCTTCTTGTGGTGCCTTGTTTTACGCAGTGAATCCTTCTCCTAAGCAAACTCCTTGAGATGCACTTTCAGCAGGGAGTCGTTGGCGTTTGGAGACTTCGCTTGTGCTTCATGGTGATATATTCTCTAATAACCAGGCCAGAACTGTTATCGTATTGTTACTTTATACACGGCACTAGCTAGCAGGCAAATCTTTTTGCATGGTGTTCTTCCCAACGTATGCATCAGGCAGTGGATGGGGTTCTCGGGGCTCTTTTCTTCTCCTTCTCCCCCTTCTTTCCTTTCCTAGCACCTCTGCTGACTAAATGACTTTAAGGAAGCAATAAGGAAACTGTCCCCTTCGCCCCTGGCCCGTCCTGCTTTCCCATGCGAGTGCCCTGACGAGGCCGAGACAAAGTCTTAACTGCTGACAACCTCTGAAAGACCACGGCGCAGCCAAGCTCTTCCTCCTGGGGGTGAGACCTTTCCGCGTGGGTTTCCCACCTCCCACCCCAAGCACTGACAGCCTTAGGTGGTGCGGGCTGTGCGTATCGGCGGGGTCCCCCGCCTGTGACGGGTGGATGTTCCCTCCCTCCCTCTCTTGAGCCAGGAGGAGGACCACCATCAGGCTGCCCTCACCTCTCCGTCTCTCCTTTGTGCTCTCCCCATCCCCTCGCCCCTCTCTCTGGTATGAATTGTCCTTTCCCCTCTATGTTAGTCGATTGAGCTGTTTTTTGTAGGTGTGTCCCAAACCCAACTTTAATGGTGCTGTTCTTTAAAAAAATAACCAAAAAAATCCCACGAAAAAAAAATCCCTCCCTAACCCAAGCAGCACAGCCGAGCCCCTGAAAAGTGACATTGTAAAAAAATGTACATGGTGATTGGAACTTTGTAATAAAACCGTTATAATAACCTCGTCCCCAGAGGTGCCGATTGCCGCGTCCTGCCGTCGGGGAGAGGGAGCCCGCCTGAGACCCGTGGGGGAAGAGGACCCCCCCAGCCAGACCCCGTGGGGTAGGTGTCAGTGCTGGCAGCTCCCGGCGCTGCAGCAACTGAGCTGGGATCGCGTGTTCCTCTGTGGCTTTTCACTGCACCTCACGTGGGGATGGTGACTCCCGTGAGCTGTTCTGAGACACCCCGGAGTGGGGGCACGCAGCCTCGCTGCCCCACGCTGCACCCACCCACCCCATGGCCTCTACTCACAGCCTCCCCCCAGCTGAGGGTCCCCCCCGGCTCTTGCCGGACACAGCAGTGGCTGCGATGGATTCCGCCAGCGTCCCCGGGAGCGGGGTGTGTTGTGAATAGCGGGTGTTGTGCAATCCACCGCTTTTCCCTTTCAGCTCGTTAGTCAGCGATGGATGGCAGCGTTACGGCCTCTCCCCTTCTGTCTCAGCAGCCCACCCTGGCAGGAGCTGAGAAAAGCCACCAGCTCAGCAAGGCAGGAACCGTATAAATCCACCCTGTGTTTTTGCACGTTTCAGATGCTTTCATGTTCGGCGGTGATTAACTGTCGGGTGAGCTGTTGGAGGAGCAGCAGCGCTGCCCATTTCGCCGGTCCCTGAGCCAGGGAGGGCTGGAGGGGTTGCGTGCGGCAGGAGCTGTGTGAGCAGGACAGTGTTCCTTAACATGAGGAGGAACTTCTTTACTTTGAGGGTAGCAGAGCACTGTCACAGGCTGCCCAGAGAGGCTGTGGAGTCTCCCACTCTGGAGACATTCAAAACCCGCCTGGACGCCGTCCTGTGCAACTGCTGTAGGTGACCCTGCTCTGGCGGGGGGGTGGACTAGATGATCTCCAGAGGTCCCTTCCAACCCTGACCGTTCTGTGATTCTGTGTGATTCTGTGTTGGTGCTGCAGCTTGCTGTGCCTCCCTGAGCACTGGGCTATGAGCAACCCACCCTAAATTAACCCTAAATTAGCACATATCCCCTTCACTGGAGATTTTTGAGGAAATAGCTTTTTCAGTGAGTCACCCACTGCAGGGTTAAGGGCTGTGCGGGGCTGGACTTGAGCTGTGTGGAAGCAGCTGAGCAGTCGCCTCCAGCCCCTGCTGCCACCCAGCGCGCACTGAGCTGCCTGCGCTCAGCAGCTGCCTGCTGGTTTGGGGACAATCGCAACAGGTTTGTGGTTTGAAAGACCGCAGGGTCTGTAGCATTTAGTCACGCAGCAGCAGCTGATTTTTTTTAGAGGGAAAACCCATATTCCCCTCCGAATGTTGTGGTTCGGCTGGCAGTGAGCTCAGCACTGCAACAGCCGCTCTGGTAGCCGCTCGGTAGGAACTGGAGCAAAGCAGCAATCTTCTGCCTGAGAATTGAGTCGTTTTGGGTCAATTTGATGAGACTGGGGCTGGAACTGGGCGGTGGAAATGGAATCGCTTGGCTGTTTCAGGCTCAAGGTAACGCCGCTGTCTGACAAGAGGACTGCACAGGTACCCCCGCTCGGATACGGGTGTGCAGTTCGGATAGGCTGGGGCACAGGAGAGGCTGAATCTCTGTCTCTGGGTATTGCTCGAGCAGACTGTATATATGATTTCAATGTGGTAACAGGAAAACAGAACCAGCAGAGCGGGCTGAAGGTAAGTAGCTGGTTTTGCGACTTGCAGCCAGAGTAGAGGAGGCATTTTTAAAAGCACAGCAAGCGGGGTGGCAGCCAGCACTGTCACAGCAGCCATCCTTCAACGTGCAGCTGCCAGCAAAGCTGGGAACATTGTGCAGCCTGGGCAGGAGCTTCCAGCGTGACCAGGGCTGTATGGCACATCTCAGATCCATGGAGGTGGGTTGCTGCAAGCTGACTTGTTGCCCTCGGGGAGGCACAGGCAGGCCCCAGGGGCTCCTTCCCTGGGGCACAGTCCGAGGGATGGCCACAGCAAGCAGCAGTGCCCACAGTTCCTTTCCCACCCTTCTCCTCCCTCATCCATAATTCATCCGTGCCAAGGCGCAGCTGCCAGAGCAGGCAGTGCCCAGGTGGCTGCGTGGGGACAGACCCTGTCACCTCCCGGCAGTGGCATTGTCATGAGTGCTGGAGCTCAACGCTTGGACACTCCACACCACAGCCAGACCCGGGCCAGCCTGGCAGGTGGCAGGCATCCACAGTAGGATGGGTATGCTGCTCTAATCGCTTGTTAAGAGCACAGGGTTTGGGTAAGCACAGGCAGGACCCATTCAGGTGGCTGCTATTTGGCCTTTCTGACCCGAAAACCACTAGCAGCGGCCAGGCTGCACAGCCCGGGGCCGTGAGAGGAAAAACACACACTATCAGCAGCATCCTGGCTGGGCCAGCACAAACGCTGCTGCGGCAACTGCGCCCTGACCCCGCAGCGAGGGATCCGAGGCCTCCGCAGATCTGCTGGGTGAGAGAGTGAGAGAAGCCGGACAGCAGGGAGCTGGCTGCCCGCAAGGCGAGAGCCCCCACCCGACGGCCCTTCCCTTCTCACTAGCATCACCGTGTGGCCAGAGCGCCCACGGGCTCGGCCGGGAGCCACCCGCTCATTCAGACACAGCTCCACCACTGCCAGAGATCTTTAATACCCATTTACTGCAAACCAAACAGCCCAAGCTGCTTTTTTATTAACTCTACAAGCGTGCCAAAGGAAGAGATGCTTCTTCAGCACCCAAACCTCAGCAGTTTAGCCCACTATGGGCAACTTCTGCCTTTTGTCTTCCTGCTTGTGCCTCCGCAACAACTGCCTCTTCCCCTCAAACAGCACAATGCCAGCAGCGATAGCAGAGTTCAAGCTGTCCACGCCTGGCACCACGGGTATGACCAGTCTCTTCCCCCCTGTGCTGGCTGCGAGTTGAAGCGCATCTGGACTCAGACCGTGGGTCTCTCCGCCGATCACCACTGCCACTGGAGTCTGTGTCCAATTCTCGTAGTAATACTGCGCAGCCAGCTCTGGGACGCAGGCACCCGCTGCTCCCTCCTCATCCTCGCTCTCAGGAGCAGCCTTGGGTTTGGATTTCACATGAGGTTTCAGGTTGCCAGGAGCAGAGCCAACCCTGCTGGCTCCCCTTGGCACGGACACAGTCTCAGCCTGAGCGCCTGGGTCTTTGTTGTCGGCCACGCAGACCTGGATGCCGTCAGGAAGGTTGCTGGGAACAGATTCCCAGTCCAGGTTGGCGACGATGGGCAGACGGAAGTGAGCCCCCATGCCTGCACGGAGCACCTTTGGCTCCCAGGGATCCACACAGCCTGAGATGGAAAAGGGGAAAACAGTGACAGTACAGTGGCTCCAAAAAAGATGGATTAAGCAGCTGCTGCCAGCAGCAAATCATGTCTGTGCCAGGCACTGCTTACAAACTGTTGGGAACAACATCTTCAAGCACTACTTATTCCCTGACTTACCCCCCAGATCACTCAAACTGATCTTTTCCTCCCCAGGGAAAGGCTCTTACCTTTGGTGAGCAGCACTTTCTCACACCCTGCTCCTGCTGCAGATCTCAGAATAGTCCCCAGGTTTCCCGGATCCCGGATATTGTCGCAGATGAGGAGCAGTGGCAGGGAGCTCGTTAGCTGAGCGGCAGGGTAAGACATCTTGGCATGGTCAGGCTTGGAAAAGATGCCTGAGGAGACAAAGTGCTGACAGGCTTCTAACACACCCCAAGGAGAGGGCTTTCTCTCATTTAGTGGGCCCAAATCTCACTAAAGAGGTGCCGGAAAAAGCACTGTGAAAAGCACTGCTTAAGAGAAGTTTGAGAAGAGTTTGTCACTTCACAAGGATAGCTATTTCCCAGCAGAGCTTCAGCAACGTGTTATTAAAAATGAGCATTCAAGGCACTCTAGGAGCCGCTTTCACAGTTACCACAGCAGGCCAAAGAAAAGGGAATTCTCTCAAATTATGCCACTCTTGACACACTGCGAGGACATCTAGGGCAAGGTTATGAAGAGATAGTCATTATCCCCTTATTATAAAGTGTGAAATAAGTTTCCCTTTGAGCAGCGTTGTGCCTGTTTCCAAGGCAACTTACCTATAAGCCCCTGAGGAGTTACCAGGTCAGACCAGCTCTTAATGTCTTCAAATTTCACCTTAACTAAGTTGGCTCGTTTTAGCTCAGCCTCAGGCAGTTCCTTCAGGTGCCCCACCATGCTGAAGAAGAGAGTCCGCAGCACAGCTCCCGCCTCCAGGGCGTCCTTGATCAGCCTCTGACCCTCCAGCAGAACCTGCCCGTGATGATCCCGAAACTTCTTCGACTTGGCGATAGTCACCACTTTTCTGCGGAGAAGTTCATCAGAGAAAATGGCTGTGATGCGAATACCACCTGCAGTCTATGGTATGGGAACTTCGCCTGGGAGACCCCCAGTATCTTTAGACCGGCTGTAGGTATCAGTCTCTACCCAGAACCCCCAAGTGTTGGAATTCGCCCCAAATTCTGCAGACACGACACCCAGCAGCCAGCGGGGGGGTTCCACCGGGGGCTCACAGCTCCCCGCAGCCCCAAAGCCCGCCCCGGGCC